GCGACTCTTTCGAAGCTTCTCTGCAGAATTTGAGCATTCTGATCGAAGAGACTGTCCGTTCCAAGAGTCTTACCCGTTTTTTCCATGGTATCCTTCACAGACCCCGACACAGGCACATACAGCAACCTTTTGTCCGCGCGCGGAGTCAGCTGGACTTGCTTGCTGCGTCTTCATCCGAGGCATCCTCGCTGTCGCTTGCGTCGGACTCCATGCCATTAGCCATACCATTGGGCGCCTTCCAGCACCTCTGGGCAGGGGGACTACCAAGTTCTCAGCCCTACAGGCTTAGATCTGGAAGTCCCAGCCCAAGTCGCCGAAAAATGATGGTTCGCGCACTTGATTTCCAGGCCTTGGGCATGGCGGCATGTCGCGATGCTGTCCTTCTTCGGAGAAATCAACATGTGGTTGCTTGTCCGATTATTTGGCCCGGCCACACAGTGAAGCAGCTCCATGCAACACAGACACGCCTCGGGCGCAAAAGCAAAGAGCAGCAGGGCGAACACAAGCCTGCTGCACGAACACTCCAGCCGTTCTAGCCACATTGATAGCCAAAGCAAGCAAGTCGGCTTTTGGAGCCGGGATACAGCATGAGGGTTCCTTCGCACAGCTTTTAGATTTCCCTCTGGGTTGGTCAGGCTGCCAGTGCAAATCGCATGGAATACATGCACGGGCGAATCCAAGAGGAAGGACAATTTTAAACACACGCTCTCAAACTCCGAGTTCGCGACGGCCAGACTCAGGAACACAAGCAAGCCAATCGTTTGTCCTTGCGAGACAAGGAGACAGTTGCAGGCTGTACCGCCATTGCTAACGACTCCATCGGCTGCAGCCCGGAGGCGGTGTTGTTGGTCAAGCGAAGTGTCAGAGCCGGGAGGAGCACCCTCCTGCACCGTCGGGCATGTTGAAATTTCAGCTCACATCTGAGCAAAGGTGCCAGGAAATGCAACACAACGACGGCCTGGCTGCGCAAGACAGACCAGATGCTATGTCAGCTATGTGTCTTGAACAGTTCAGCTGTGTCCGTGGACGCGGTGGTGAGATGGGGAGCCTATGCGATGCCGTTGGCGCCGTCCCTAACTATGCCGATGCAGTTGAAGCTGCCGACGTAGGTTCCGCGAGTGGAGCGTGATGTAGCCTCGAAGGATGGACGGGCCACCCATTTCTGTAAAATCAAGAAATCTTTTGATGGGGCGCTGGTGACTTCAAAATTTTGAGCTCGTTTGCGTGGATGCCTGCGTTCATCTGGTGCGGTGGTGTCTCCGGCTACAGACATAGCCCCGTCTTCACATCTTCCACGTAAAAAGACGCGTCTTCCCGTCTCTGGCCAGTTTTTGTGTCTTCTCCAAAAACTCGCGCCTACCTGCACTGTGGAGACGACATGGAGCACAAAGGCAAACGGTCTTGAGAGGAGCAAGTCAAAATAGTGTATAAAGTCTGTGGCCGTGATATAGACAGAAAAAATTTCTTTTGGACCGAGCCCTCGTGAAAAAAACAACGGTGCATCATCCGGGCAGCCTGCATCATGTTATATCATGTTCTTGCACAACTTGTGGTGCTATACTTTAATGCTTTAGACCTCTTTGGCCCTATGGTCAGTACGTGCGGGTGTGCCGGACGCAGCGACACTGACACTTCTGTGTGGGTGGCTGCATTTGGCTTATTTTGCTTGGACGTCACTCTATGCCACTGCCCGCTCTCAAGCAGTCTCAAACTTTACGATTGGATCCGGGCCGTGGCCCTGGACTGGTAAAGGATGCCGTATAGACAAACACAGCGCGAAGTTCTCCAGCAAGCTGCGCCTGTGAAGTGTTGCTGGTCACAGGCACCTTCAAGGGTGGCCCTGCGGGCATGGCCATGAAGCCTGCAGAAGCTCGAACCGCAAAGTTCAGCGACCGCCCTCCAGCATAAAGTGAAGCCAGGATGCGAGTGCTAGATGTGGAGTTGGTCGCTGTTGTTGTGGACGTCGCTGGGAATTGGCTCGTGGAGGTTGTGGAGAAATCGACCGGCCGACTCGTAAACGACGTTGGCATCATCTAAGCATGCACAAGCAGCTGTGCACTTGTCACAGTGTTGTGCATCTACTTGAGACCGAAACCAATCCTGGAAGATGGCAGCAGACCTAAGGCCTAAGTCGCCTGAGGCCGGAACTGCCACATCAACCTGGTGCAAAACGGTGCTGGCATCTCTGCTCTGTCGCTAACAGCACCTCAACGCAGGTTCCTCTGCTAAACTCATGTCAATTCTGCTTTTCCCTCATTTGCTCCCTCTCTGAGGCTCAGAGTTTCCGTCAGGATGCACAAACACATGTAAGCATGCGAGTCGCCGTCCAAAGCTACCTTTCATCCGGCCTTTCAGGCTGAGCTTTCAAGACTCCCTCAAGAAGTGCTCTCAAATTCGTCCGAGTTCGAGCAAGTTCTGTTGATCAGGCAAGGGTACATGGTGCATGTGCAGGGACTTCTGCTGTTTATGCCAAATATCTGCAACATCAAGTTGGTTCGGCCTACATTCCCCCTTTGCTTCTGTCATGTGACACGAAACTCCTCCAGGCGGAGCTCCTTCTTGCCAACACCCATGTTCCAAATTTCACACAGGGCATTGCTGTAGCAACGGGGTCCGACCTCTCCGATGTCCGTAGCCTTCGCATGAACCAATTCAGTTGTGGGCACGCAGCCAGCGACAGCTCCCCAGCACGGGTCTCATTCTCATCGGCAGCTCGCATATTAAGTGCCAATTCGACCCTTGCAAACGAAGGTCACTGAGAGCCCTGCACAACAGTGATGGGCCACAATGCGCAAGTGGCTTTCGGTGTGCGCAAAGCTACGACGCTTCGCAATGTGACTGCCCATGTGGAGATGAAGTTGTCCGCGAAGCGGAGAAGCCGTATCGGGTCCGAACCAAGCAAATTCCCAAGATGGAAGTCAGGCCCTAAGGTGGGAGTCCTGCGCACAGACGCGAAGTTGTGCTACTGGTCTCGCCAGCGGCTCAGGGTCTGCTGCCTATATACCCCGCGGCTCGCTGGGCTGGCTTTCTCTCTATCTTCTTCCCGGGGGCATGAGGGGTGTCTGACGCCCCTCGGCCACAAAGGGCCCCACCCGTTGTTCATGGGGGCTTTGGAGGAGAGTGAAAACTGGATGTTTCCCCCTGTTTGAACGGAACTAGTTGTACTACTTCATATATATATATATATATATGTATATACGGTAACCCCCCCCAAGAACTACCTGCCCTCGTTTTGTATCGTAAATACCGTGCCAAACCAGCTTTTCCGGAAGGTCAGGATTCTGTATCTCTCATAGACTACCGAAATCAAACTCACATTTCAACAGAACGTGTCAGTCAACTCGTTCAAGTTTGACGTGAAGTCCGGATTCAGTATCTCTCAAAGACTACCGAAGTCAAACTAACATTTCAAAAGAGCGTATCAGTCAGCTCGTTCAAATTCGACGTTTCGACGTGAGCACACGCTTAACAGCAACACTGTGCTCTTCCTCCCAAAACAAACTTTTTCCTAGGGAAAACCAAAAAAATCATCTGTTGGGATGCTATGTGGCCAGACTTGAAAAAAATGTTTTTTTGTTTCCCTAGGAAAAGGATGGTTTTTGGTGGAAAAACAAACTTTTCCTAGGGAAAAATTGGTTTTGGTATGAAAGACCAATTTTTCCTAAGGGAAAACAAAAAAAACCAAAGAAACCATTTTTGGGGAAACTATACGGCCGGACTCCAAAAAGATTGCTTGTTTTGGCTTTTCACACCAATGCAATCTTTTTCCTAGGAAAAAATTGTTTTTTACTCCAAAACCATCTTTTTCCTAGGAAAAAGTTGGTTTTTCCACCAAAAACCAACGTTTGCCTAGGAAAAACAAAAAAACATCTTTTTGGAGTTCGGCCGTATGGATTTCAAAAAAATGTTTTTTTTGTTTTTTCTTTGCTTTTCATAGGAAAAATGTTGGGTTTCCCCTCCAAAACCATCTTTTTCCTAGGAAATAGTTGGTTGTTCACGTCAAAACCATCTTTGTCCTAGGAAAAAGTTGGCTTTTCACTCCAAAACCAAGGTTTTCTAGCGAGGTGTGTGCCTTTCATTTGTCTGCGCGCGTTACGAACAAGTGCTGCCTTTACGCTTAGAGTATTCTTATTACTGGGATGCGATTGCGCCAACATTAATACTTTACAGTATATTGGGTAGTAAGCAATATATAGTTAGTGCACGAAAACACCAAATCGTACACACTTTTTGTCTTGAGCCAATGCAACGAAATGTCCGTAGTCATACCTACAAAGAGCGATAAAACACCCCCCGCGCCTCTTAGGGCAGCGAAGAGAGGCGAAAGTAGAAGTACAGTATGCTACCAACACGTTGCAAATGCGAAACGTTGACTGTTTTACACCTCAGGCGTAAAGAAGCTCTTAGAAAGGATCTCAACACTCCTGACGTAGAACGTCCCATCAGTTCGGCCCTTTACATAGGCCGTCCCGTCAGGGAGGCAAAACAACGGACGTGGAGCAGATAAACTACTCTTACACGTCCGACCCGTCAGGGCGGAGAAAACAAACGAAATGAGCCTGCAAATGCAAATTAGCTGCTACCGAACTGCACAAGACGCGGCAGTCAGTACAGGCGAATCCCATTCTGGGTTTCTTTCCATCCAGAGAGGAAGTAGCCCACGTGCTCCGGAGCCAGGAGGTGGAAGTCGTTCAAATCATGAAAAGCTGGCACCGCACGATCTTCCATGCCTCTTGGAACATTCTTGTCCCGAGACGCTTTGAGGCGTGCCCAAAGCAGCGCATCATGCCGAGTAAAGTAGAACTGGCGCGGCTGCGATGGGTCAATAGGGTTCCCCCTTGAATCGACAACCAAAGTCGTCGGTGGAGGCCCTTTTGGCTCGGGAGGACGCATAGGCGCATCACTTGACGATCCGGGCACATTCCAGGTAAAAGTTGCTTGGCTCCGTAGGCTTCATGCGAGTAGCCGCCACTCCCGGAGAAGGATCACGTGGACGTGCCCTAGGCTTTGGAGGCACTGAGCCAGCACGTTGTGCACTGCCGGTTGCCCTGGTGCCACTGCTTGACAGTGGTCTTCAGCGGATCGCTGTCGAGGACGAGCAAGCAGGCATTGTGGCCTTGGAATGCTCTGATACGGGTGAAATGCCAGTTCGTGCCCCGGCCTAACCGCGTGTCCTCGTCCAAGGCTTCCGCCTGGAGTTCGAACCGACCTTTGTCACAGTGATCGGACGTCAAAAGGTCAATGATGGTCATTACCGTCAGGCGGGACCATTGCTTGCCAATAACCTTCAAAACATCGCCGATCTCTGCAGCCTGTTCTTCGTCGAACTCCACTGTGCGAAATCCCTTGTCCTTGGCGTGCCCACGCAAGTGCCACGACAGCTTCTTGCCCAACGAAACACACTCCATCTCAGTGAGACGAAAGTAGCCCATGCGACCCTTGACATCAGGCAGCTGCTCTGGTGTAAGCCAGATGGGTCCGCCGCTCCCACGGGGATGCTCCTCAACATCGTCTGTGCCGTAGTCAACAGCCATCGGACCAGAGTCCCAGACTTCCGTCGGGATATCGGATGTAGCAATCGTAGAGACTGCCTCACCATCCACGACAGATGTAGCTGTAACATTCGGCTCAACAAACTCATAGGAAGCAACACCCGTCTCCTGGGCGACCTCTTCAGCTTCCTGATTCGTCATGACCAGGTTCACCGACTCAATCATGTTGCGAACGATCTGTTCCATCTCCGAGCCGGGGTCGACCGCTTCCACGGTGAGGTGTTCGTCCTCCGGGTTTGGATTGCGAGACACCATGTCTTCAACCGTGATCTCCTCTGACTCTTTCGCCACTTCGTTGACGTAGTCAGTGGGCGGCACACCCTCGAGCTCGTCAAGCTTTTCCAAGCTGAGGATCGGCTGATTGAGGACAATCTCCTCCTCTGGGAAGCGCTGGATGGGCGGTGCTTCAGGTGGAAAAGTCACCTGCTCGGCTTCCGCCGGGATCAGCAAGTCCGTGGTCGGAGGGATGTCGAGCTCTTCCAAGCCGAGACCGAGGTGGAAGTGGTTGTGGAAAAGGATGCCGCGCGAATTCGCCTTTAGCTCCATCGCGTGCTTCACAAGCCACCGTTCGAACATCACCGCAGAGCAGAGGTGAAAAAACCAATTGGTGGTAACTTTCACATTGTCATGGGTGGCCTCCATGTGGAACCCATCGTACCGCTCCGTCGCGAGGATGAGGGCCTGCGGGTCGACGATGCGGATACCGCGCTCTTTCATCTCGTCGGTATGGCGGGCCATTTCCAGGTCGTAGACCTCCGGGAGACCATAAAATTCCCCGTCGTGAGGGCCAGCCACAAGCGTAACTGAGGACACTCCCTTCCGGGATGAGAGGCGAACCAAAGCATCTTTCGCGTCTTCGACTGCCTTGCGTGCCTTTGTTTCCCAGTTGGAAAGGGTGTCATGCAACGCATCATCAACACGAACCCATGCATTGCGCGCGTGGAAGGAAAAGCCTTTGTAACCATACTCGCCATAGACGTCATTACCACCCCATTGGATGATAATGTCGACACCTTCCGGCGCGAGCGGTTCCTGGCCATTCTTCCACTTCTGGACTCGGTTGAGTTCTTGCTCCACGTGCCACACGATGTCTCCAAGCCCCTTTCCCCAGCGCATAACGACTGAGCACCCATCCATGCGGATGTCCTTGGTCATCCCAGAAGACGAAATGGGACATAAAGAAGTGTACGGGGACCATCTTGTACTTCTGCCTTTTTTAAGTGCCCTTAGGAAAAGGCACTTAAGCTAAGTTACATTTGCCATTTTGATATAGCTGGACGCTATAAAGCAAGACTTTGATGATCTATGATGGTATCCACTTGAAGCAAGGCTTGTTATCGTAAGGTCATAATGACTGCGTGTAGCTGGTCGATGGTGGTGACAAATATGCTGATTCTTGATATATCTCGTTTATTGCAGTATATGGGTTGGTCCTGGTATATGGTCTGGCATATGTAAGAATCTGATGCTAGCAGTAGTAGGTGTCGTAATAATAGTAGCAGGGATATAGTAGTAGTACGTACCCGTTACTGTCGTAAAGTAGTGTATAGTTGTAGTGGTCCCAGAAGTGATGGTAGTACAGATGGTATATTTGTAACTACTCGTAACATAGATAGTACTGTAGCGGTAGTAGTTGTTGTTTTAGTTGTTGTTGTTCTTCTTCTTTATAGTCTATACTGCTTTTGGAGTGAATGTCGGGGGCAGGACTTGGGCTTGGCTGAGGGGGAGGGGGAGTCTGCGAAGCCCGCTTGTGGCATTATGGTCGATGTTTTTCTGTAAACGGGGGTGGGGGGCGACGGGGACGTCGTACCCCCGTCCCCCCCAAGGAAGGAGCTATTGTGAGCTGGGTTTGGGGTTGGGGGCTGGGGATGGCAAAACGGAAATGGTGAATGGACGTGTTTCAGTTGACCAGAAAAGTTTGTTGGACGTAGTGTATAAGTAGTTATATGTAGTAGTAACAGGAGTAGTGTAATAGTCGCAGTAGCAATGGTAGTAGTGGTAGTAGTAGCAGGAGTACATAGCAGGAGTAGTAGTTTTGGCAGTACTAGTACTAGAACTAGTACTGTAATAGTACTAGTACTAGTACTAGTACTAGTACTAGTACTAGTACTAGTACTAATATTAGTACTAGTACTAGTACTAGTACTAGTACTAGTAGCAGTAGTAGTAGTAGTAGTAGTAGTAGTAGTAGTAGTAGTAGTAGTAGTAGTAGTAGTAGGAGCAGGTGTAGTAGCAGCAGTGGTAGTTATGGTATTGGTAGTGGTGGTTGTAATACAAATAATAGTAGTAGTAGTAGTAGTAGTACATAGTTTTAGTAACATAGTAATAGTAATCGTCGTCGTGGTGGTGAGGGAATGTGGCAGTGGTGGTGGTGGTAGTAGTAGTAGTAGTAGTGGTGACGGTGGTGGTGAGGGGTGGAGTTGGTGGCAAGCAATTTTGCTTGCTTCTAACCACAAGCCCCGAGCCAGCTAAACTAATTCTTATGGGGCGGTGTAAATTTTACATTCGAACGAACCTTTACAGTAATTATAGTAATGTTGTGGCTAGACACACTTTAGCACGGAAATCCCGAATATGTTGTTCTAGATTCTGCATATCACAGTGAAACCCCGTTTGTGTGTTGTTTTGCACTTCATTCATATCAAGAAACCCACGGTCTGACCGCTGCACATCATATGAGCTTGAAGTTAAAACATATAATGATATTGATGCTGGTGTCCTGAACAAGAGTCCTGGGCTGCAATAAGAATTCCTGAAATCTGCAAAACTATCTCCTACATTAGACAAGTTTCTCCAGAATGGCACCAATCGTCTCGTCCTGAACTGTTTTCTAAAACAAGCTTTGGTCGGAGGTTTCAGTTCGGCCAAAATATCTACATCTACAATATGCTGGCCTGGCAGGCCACTACCACCTAATGCGGCGTAGCTATATAGGATTAGGGTTTACGTTCTAGAGAATCTTGGCAACTGATCGATGTCTCACTCTCTCTGGATAACGGCCGCGGTTTTCGTGCTTACACACATGCAAACGGGATTTAAGCGTGATTTTCGAGATTTAAAACAGGATATTCGTGATTTTCGTTCTCCGATCGTTTGAGGGGCTTTTCGCGCTTGCACAAATACAAACGGGATGTCAGCGTGATTTTCGAGATTTAAAACAGGATATTCGTAATTTTCGTTCTCCGATCGTTTGAGGAGCTTTTCGTGCTTACACACATGCCAACGGGATTTAAAGCGTGATTTTCGAGATTTAAAACAGGATATTCGTGATTTTCGTTCTCCGATCGATTGAGGAGCTTTGTTGTGCAACAAGGATGATTGCGCTATATAAATGCACTGTATTCCCATGGTACATGCAAGGCCTATATCTGTTTTTTGTAATCAGTTCTGATGATCTTAGCATGGATAGCAGCTGCAGTCTTTGTTTGTTAGAGTGTCACCATATGGTCTGTTATAGGCTTTTAGCTGCAATTTGCTTAATTACTCTTTACCGCAGGGCAAGAATTGGCCGCGTGATTTAGCGTGGTTTGCTACCTATCCAGCGTTCTATGCTACTTACTTTTCGTGGGATTCGAGGTTTTGGGTTTTTCGGGATGAGATCTGCAGTTCCATGATAATCAAGGAGCTAAGGCATCGCTCGTCCTATCCATGTGCAAAGCTAGTGGCACAAATCTATATCGAGCACAGTCGTTGAGAATCGTGATTTCGGCGGGGTTTGTTGTGAAAGCTGTGCTTCCCTGCTGGCTCCCTGTATAAGGTTTGCCGCGTGGTTTTCGGGATTTCCCGGGCCATAAGGTTTGCTGCGTGGTCTTCGGGATTTTTAGAGATATCCGGTTGAGATTGTGAATATTACGAAATATCTTAGTTTCCGGGTATCTTCGGGATTTCTGTGGAGCTGAAGCGCACAGGATGATTCATGTTAAGGTGGTTGGGCTGTGTGATTTCGATGCTTTGGGAATCAGTTTAATGGCTTTAAACTAGTTCAATAAACTGCATAATACTACTCACTACAATCACTGGTTTCCGGGTCTAGGGTTTAGGGGTTTAGGGTTCAGGTTTCTGCTGTAGCTACTGCTATTGCTGCTGCTACTGCTCGTGCTAGTAGCAGTAGTAGTAGTAGTAGTAGCAGCAGCAGTACTTGTAGTAGTAGTGGTAGTATAGTAGTATAGTAGTATAGTAGTATAGTAGTATAGTAGTATAGTAGTATAGTAGTATAGTAGTATAGTAGTATAGTAGTACTGTAGTATAGTATATTGTGTGACAGTGTGATAGTATGATAGTAAGATAGTATAACAGTATGATAGTGTAATAGTATAATGGTATAATAGTATAAAAGTATAATAGTTTTATAGTATAATAGTATTATAGTATAATAGCATAATAGCATAATAGTATAATGGTATAATAGTACAACCGTATAAAAGTATAATAGAATGATAGTGTGATAGTGTGATAGTATGATAGTATAATGGTATAATAGTACAATCGTATAATAATATAATAGTATAGTAGTATAAGAGTATAACAGCATAGTAGTATAGTAGTATAGTAGTATCGTAATATAGTATTATAGGAGTAGCAGTAGTAGAATCGAATAGTACTGCTATCGCGACTGCTCATGTTGCTAGTGCTACATGTTATGTGCTACTGCAACTACTCCTCCTGTAGCTGCTCCTTTCTGCTACTCTACCACTGCTGCTGCTACTCTATGTTTCTACCACTACAACTATGCACTGTCACTGATATAAGCTGCTGTGACTCGGCAATCTTTGCCGATATCCGGCTGGTTTCTGGTGCTAATTAGAAATGCAGCAAGCAAGTTTCATCCTGCTGGCTTTCTAGGTTTATTACTAGAGTTGCAACACCCCATACACAATATTTGTATTGATGCTTCGATATCCTTAAAGGCACGTCAATCATATAGACACAAACCTACTGCTTAGATAGGGGTCGGTGCCAACATATAAGATGAATGTTCCAGTCTAAGCGACTTCCGATTACGTAGATTGTGCTTGGAAGCTGAACCAGCTCTGTGCTCACATGCATACCCCATGCAGTCTGCGCGCTTAGTAGCAGTATTAGCCCGAGATGATGATATAGTATGTTGGTATAGCAAGGTATAGTGTAGTAGTAGTGGTAGTAGTAGCAGTAGCAGTGGCCCAGCAGTAGTAGTAGTACTAATAGCTTATAGGGATGCGTTTCGGTATTATTAGTATTGGTTTGCGTTTCCGTATGTGGGCACTAGCATTAGTAAAGGCATTAGTATGAGTATCAGTATTCGTATTTGTAGTAGTATAGTAGCAGTTACATAGTAGAAGCAGTAGTAGCAGTAGTAGTAGCAGTGATAATTGTAGTAGCAGTGGTAGTACCAGTATCCGCAGAAGTATTCCTGGTAAAAGTCGTAGTGGCAATGGCCGTAGTTGTTGTTGTTGTTGCAGTATGTTGCAGTAGCAACAGTAGCAGTAGCAGTGGCAGTGGCAGTGGCAGTAGCAGTATAGTAGTTTAGTAGTGGTAGTAGCACTAGCAGTAGCAATAGCAGTAGTAGTAGTAGTAGTAGTAGTAGTAGCAGCAGCAGCAGCAGCAGTAATAATTCTCTATACTCGTACATATTTTGAGTACAGTCGTGGCTGTAAGTGCTTTCTGCATGGATGGAAGGTTTATTTGGAAATTGAAGCCAGGATTCTGGATTTTGTTTATTTCAAGGTGCAGTGTGTACCTGGGACTCGATTAAGCCACATACATATATGATTTTTGCTTGAGGGCGGAGTTTCATTGGTCGCAAAGGTTTGTGTGCTGGCAAGCATTCAAGTCCAGCTCTTATACTGACCCGAAAGATATGGCACTTAAGCACAAATGTCACTTATTTTGAAAATGTGCTTTATGCTAAGTACCTTTTGAAGCAGCCAAAACAGGATAAGTTCCAAACCGTCTTCTGGGATCTCCTCCCGGAGTGACGGCTCCATCGTCCCTTTCATTTGGACGCGGCCGCCGTCTCTCGTCACCAAGGCTAGGGAGCTATCGCCCCCGATGATGAAATAGGAGCTGGGTTGCTCCTGGTGCTCGATCCTGCGTAGGGCCGGCGTGTACACCGTGTCAAGCAATGCGGTGGCAGCTGGCATAAACGGGTCTGGAATTAGTTTGGGAATTTTTTGTTTTTTGCATTTTTTTTTTTTGGTGGTTTGCTTGGCCGTGTTGCATTGCCTTGCAGGGTTTTGGGTTTAGGCTTCTGTTCAGGTTCGACACGCAGGATCCCTGTGAACCCCATCGGGGACATAGAAAATTTGCACCGCGCCACAGCGCCAGCGCTTCGACACGCAGGATCCCTGTGGAGGGTTCATCGGGAACGTAGAAAATTTGCACCGCACCACAGCGCCAGCGCTTCGACACGCAGGATCCCTGTGAAGGGTTCATCGGGGACACACAAAATTTGCGCCGCGCCACAGCGCCAGCGCTTCGACACGCAGGATCCCTGTGGAGGGTTCATCGGGAACGTAGAAAATTTGCACCGCACCACAGCGCCAGCGCTTCGACACGCAGGATCCCTGTGAAGGGTTCATCGGGGACACACAAAATTTGCGCCGCGCCACAGCGCCAGCGCTTCGACACGCAGGATCCCTGTGGAGGGTTCATCGGGAACGTAGAAAATTTGCACCGCACCACAGCGCCAGCGCTTCGACACGCAGGATCCCTGTGGAAGCTTCATCGGGGACGTTGAAAATTTGCACCGCGCCACAGCGCCGGCGCTTCGACACGCAGTATCCCTGTGGAGGGTTCATCGGGGACCTCCCCCCTTTGCAAACCTTTTAAATCCTTCACGATTGATTGTGTTTTCTTCGCATCAAACCACCCTGACGCGTTGTTGTCTGGACTTCTCCTTCTTGTGTTTTGGCGAATACGTTTTTGTGCATCTTTCGTGCCTTTAGTGAGCGGGGAGTTTAGTCTAAAAAAGCGGGGGGGTTGGGGGGGGCGCAGCCCCCCCCATTTGCAAACCTTTTAAACCCTTCACGATTGATTGTGTTTACTTCGCATTAAGCCACCCTGACGCTTTGTTGTATTTACAAACCCTTTAAACCCTTCACGACTGACTGTGTTTTCTTCGCATTAAACCACCCTGACGCGTTGTTGTCTGGCTTTCTCCTTCTTCTGTGTTGGCGAATACGTTTTTGTGCATCTCTTCGTGCCAGTGAGCGGGGAGTTTAGCCAAAAAAAAAGCGGGGGGGCTTGGGGGGGCGCAGCCTGCAAACCTTTTAAACCCTTCACGATTGATTGTGTTTACTTCGCATTAAACCACCCTGGCGCGTTCTTGTCTGGCTTTCTTCTTCTTGTGTTTTGGCGAATACGTTTTTGTGCATTTCTTCGCGGCTTTTTAGTGAGCGGGGAGTTTAGCCTAAACAAAGCGGGGGGGTTGGGGGGGGCGCAGCCACCCCCCCAGTTGCAAACCTTTTAAATCCTTCACGATTGATTGTGTTTTCTTCGCATCAAACCACCCTGACGCGTTGTTGTCTGGACTTCTCCTTCTTGTGTTTTGGCGAATACGTTTTTGTGCATCTCTTCGTGCCTTTAGTGAGTGGAAACCTTTTTAAACCCTTCACGATTGATTGTGTTTACTTCGCATTCAACCACCCTGTTTTCTTCGCATTAAACCACCCTGACGCGTTGTTGTCTGGCTTTCTCCTTCTTCTGTGTTGGCGAATACGTTTTTGTGCATCTCTTCGTGCCAGTGAGCGGGGAGTTTAGTCAAAAAAGCGGGGGGGCTTGGGGGGGCGCAGCCTGCAAACCTATTTAAACCCTTCACGATTGATTGTGTTTACTTCGCATTAAACCACCCTGGCGCGTTCTTGTCTGGCTTTCTTCTTCTTGTGTTTTGGCGAATACGTTTTTGTGCATTTCTTCGCGGCTTTTTAGTGAGCGGGGAGTTTAGCCTAAACAAAGCGGGGGGGTTGGGGGGGGCGCAGCCACCCCCCCAGTTGCAAACCTTTTAAATCCTTCACGATTGATTGTGTTTTCTTCGCATCAAACCACCCTGACGCGTTGTTGTCTGGACTTCTCCTTCTTGTGTTTTGGCGAATACGTTTTTGTGCATCTCTTCGTGCCTTTAGTGAGCGGGGAGTTTAGTCTAAAAAAAGCGGGGGGGTTGGGGGGGGCGCAGCCCCCCCCATTTCCAAACCTTTTAAACCCTTCACGATTGATTGTGTTTACTTCGCATTCAACCACCCTGACGCTTTGTTGTATTTACAAACCCTTTAAACCCCTCACGACTGATTGTGTTGTCTTCGCATTAAACCACCCTGACGCGTTGTTGTCTGGCTTTCTCCTTCTACTGTGTTGGCGAATACGTTTTTGTGCATCTCTTCGTGCTAGTGAGCGGGGAGTTTAGTCTAAAAAAAGCGGGGGGGTTGGGGGGGGCGCAGCCTGCAAACCTTTTAAACCCTTCACGATTGATTGTGTTTACTTCGCATTAAACCACCCTGACGCGTTGTTGTCTGGCTTTCTTCTTCTTGTGCTTTGGCGAATACGTTTTTGTGCATCTCTTCGCGGCTTTTTAGTGAGCGGGAAGTTTAGCCTAAAAAAAGCGGGGGGGTTGGCCCCCCCCATTTGCAAACCTTTTAAACCCTTCACGATTGATTGTGTTTACTTCGCATTAAGCCACCCTGACGCTTTGTTGTATTTACAAACCCTTTAAACCCTTCACGACTGATTGTGTTTTCTTCGCATTAAACCACCCTGACGCGTTGTTGTACGACATAAGGAGGCAGTATTCTCGAAGCTAGACAGTATAAGAAGTTGCGAAGTGAAAAAGCCAAGAAGCCGAAAAGCCAAGAAGCCAGAAGCCAAGAAGCCAGGGAAGCCGAGAAGCCAAAAGCCCAGAAGCCAGGGAATCCAAGAAGCCAGAAGCCAAGAAGCCAAGCGCGCACACAAGCCAAAAAAAAAAATGCCCAAAAAAAAAGAAAAAATCCCAAAATAAATACACCTCCCCTAAATACTTGGAATAGGGCTCCCTTGAAAGGGTTCCTTTGAAGGGCTCTACAAGGGACTTATAGCAGGGTTCCATAGCATAGGGGCCTTCATAAGTAGAGTAGGGCTTGGGGCCCAGTATAATGTATCTAGAGTAAAGAACACCCAAACCAGTATTGGTAATTATTTCGGCCCCTATATTAACGGTTTGGGGTTGCTGTTTGGGTGTCCAGGGTTGAGCGTTTAGAGCTCTGGGCGCGAGATTCTGCAGCTGCGGGCTTCAAGGTTCTAGGGTTCGAGCTTTAGGGTTTGGGGCTTAGGGCTTTGGGCGACAAGACATAGGAATGACTGTATATAAGAGAAACCACAACGGTGACAGCAACGATGAAAGGTGCTCTTGTCGTGATGAAGTAATGGCTAATTCCTATGACTTTCAGGACTTTAATGGACCAGGGCTGGGCTCTTCGGGTCCGCCCTCTACCCCACCCTCAGTCCAGGGTTTAGCCGGCACCCCACCCCCTATCCGAACCTCCGACGTGATGCGCCTCGGGATTGGGTATGATGTAGACAGAAGCGCTCGCCACTAATTGGCTTGGTGCTTGAATATAGAGATTCGCAAAACTACTGATGATCCCCCCTGAAAGCCCCTCTTACAATACTATACCCCAAACCCCCATATTTACCATGGTTAGGGCCCCTTTGCTACTTTTCGTGGTTTGGCCTACCGCCGGCTTGACGGTGCCTTGCAGGAAGATTTCCGTCATGGGATGAACGGCTTCGTGTAACTCTCGTCCTTTGGGTTGCCCCTCGTCAGCCCTACACCGTTGCAAGCTTTTTCTTCGGCTTTGGGCCCACGGGTTTAGGGTTTAGGGGTTTTGGGTTTAGGGTCTAGGGTTTAGGGTTCAGGGTTGAGGGTTCAGGGTAAAACTTAAGCCTCCCGAATCAACACAAGCCTCCACCCCTAAACCCAAAATCCTGGCCTGGTAGAAACGCCACTTCATCAGCTCACCGGCAGAAAGCAAGCTCCGGCACTTTGCCTCGGGTCTTCTCGCGGTTCTTACAGCAAAAGGATTTTGGGCGGCTTCTCATGGTGAAAAAAGGAAGAACTTGCGTGAGTTGATAAAAGGTTATTCGGATTTAGAGCTTCTCTGGCGTGTTCTTGAGGGACAACATTCCCCTTGAGGGCGTTTAGGGATGTCTCGGGGTCGGGGCTACGATATTGCTCTTTCGAGTACGCTTCGTACCTGCCGACACAGTTGCGAACCACCTGGTGTGTTCGGCCTGGTATATGCAACATTCCTGTTCGTCCGTAGTCTTCTGCTTGCTGCAAATGGCAAGCCGCCAGACCTTAACCCTACAAGCTTACACCTCAAACCACAGCCGAACCCGAAGCAAGCCCTAAACCCTTTAAACTGTTTCATCCCTAAACCCCAATTACCTTTCAATCTTTAGAGGAACCCCTCAAAGTACCCTTGAAGGAACCCTTAAAGGAACCCCCGCTCTCTCCACCCCCACGAAAGAAAGGCCTCAATGACCTGACGCGTAAGCTGTCGGAGCACTTCGCGGTCCTCGTTTGCAGCTTGGCTTTGGGTCTTGCTTTGGGCTTCGTTCGGGGCTTTGGCTTGGGCTTCGGGCTTAGGGTTGATCATCAACATCGTGTGGCATCGCTGCGGTGCGCTCCTCCTCTAAAGTAAAATGGCCCGCGGCAGGCCAGCTGCTCACCCACTCTGGCCCACCCGAGACCGAGAGCCTCTGGGCAATCTGAAAGAGGTTTAGGGCTTTGCGGCGTAGATTTTTGTATGTATATTGTGAAGTTTCGGATTCTCCATTAAGCTTTCTTCTGAGAGGGCTTCTGTACAGGGTAGAGGGCGGCTGTGGGATGTTCTGAATCGAATCGGTTATATCTTGCCTTCTTAGGCTTCAAAGGGAACCTGTCCACTATGCTTCAGATGCTTCATCTGGATCCCGGAACATCACACTGGGTTTTCGAGTACCACGCAGCCCCTGCCCGGCGGATATGAACTGTGGGATGAGACTGGTTCGAGTTCAGGACAAATAATGCTTGTACTGCTTGTGTATCACGCTATCACTCAATCAGCCCGATGTTAGCAGCTGTCCGTGTTCTTGTCCGCTGCCACGTTTCTCCTTTCGCACATGCCCCTTT